TGGAGATATTCAAGACCCGCCTGGACAAGGTCCTGTGCAGCCTGCTCTGGGTGACCCTGCTTCGGCAGGAGGGGTGGACTAGATGACCCACAGAGGTCCCTTCCAACTCCTAGCATTCTGTGATTCTGTGATTCTGTGAAGTTGTATGAACTTTATGCAATTGAGCATTGCTATTAATTTAAATAATTAAGTCTAAAATAGACATTTTGAGCTCATAAAACCTTTATCTATGATATTCTATTATAGATTCTCTAACCAGAGGAATCTAAACATTTGTTGCAAGTTCCAGACTAAAATGACTCCCAACTTCATTTTCCTCCATGTCTGTAATTGATATACACACCATGTTTAATGCAAAAAAAAAAAAAAGTAATGAGTACACACACACACGTCTGTTATTTTAGCAAAGACTTTGTCTGTGTGCCTTTATAATTTCTGCACACATAAAAACAGGGTTTGCTCTGGGCTCGAGTTGAAAAAGCACAGGGTTTTGGATGTTGTCACTGATTAATCACCTAAATTCTTAGGACTACTCTATGTGAGCATAGATGTTAATGGGCTCCTTCATACACCATCTTTTCTCTCTTTTTTTTGACATTCAAGGAGCGTTACAGGTGCAAGTGGTGTAAGTAACTTTCATATAGAACTACATTAAAACAGATTACGCAGCTTCTGGAAATTCCTGATGCTTCGTATCGCTTTACTTGGAGGAATTCTCTCAGCATTACAAAGCCCACCGCGAAGACTGACCACCTTTGAGGTGTCGGCAAAAAGGATATCTCTGATTCTCCGAGTCCTCTGTTAGCAGCTTGAGGTCCAGGGTGCAGCTTTGGATTAGCTCATCCAGTTTCTTCTCTTCCTGAGTCAGTTCGGTCACCTCCTTGGTGAGGCCTTGACGCTGTGCCAGCATGCCCCCGTCGTCTGACAGACTGCAGCCCCTGCAGATACAGAGGAGGAAGACGCCATTTCGGCGTTTGCCAAGCTTGATCCCGCGCTAGGGGAAAGGGAAGAGGCAGGCTTTCACAGCATAGATCAAGTCCTTAGCTCCTTCTCCCTAAACCTGCCCATAGCGAGTCAACTTGAACTACGTTTTCCAGAAAAAGCGTCTTTTTATCATGACAACACATTCTGGAACCACCACCAAGATGGAAAAGGCGAATCCTTCTAAGCTCTTCCAAAATCTTCTTTCTAATGCCTCTCTCCTCTAACCACAGACTGAAGAAGACCAAGGAAGGCAGTAGGTAGAGCTGTGTACGCAAAAAACTCACTCTGCTTGCAAAAGCAAATGAGTTAATCCAGTGTTCAGACAAAATACTGGTTTCTAATTTCGCCAACAAATGCTATGTATACACTGAAAACCTGCCTTAACAGAAGAAGAAAGTTTTATCCTGATAGAAGGCGTTCTGGATGATTGCTTAAAGCAAAGTGTTAGACTGGAAGGTGGGAGAAGAAAAACACTGCTCCTCTGTGACAGTGAAATCAGCCAGCAGCAATGGAAAAGGATAATGAATACTCACATCCACTGAATGTTGTTTTTGGATTTTTTCTTTATGAGATGGATGCCTTCCAGTACATTGGTGATATCATAAATCCTCCTTTTTTGCACCTTGAGGACCTCTGCCGCTCTGTTCAAATCTAAGACCCCATCAGGAGACTGGCTCAGCAACTGAATGAACTTCTTTGTAAGAAGGCCAAGTGATGTATCATACCGAGTCTTTTCTGAAGGAGATTTTGGAGCTTGGAAAGAAAAGAGAAAAAAAAAAAAACAACCAGATAAATCAGCTTTCTCATTTTGGTTCCGAAAGCAGAATCTAGAAATGAAAGGACACGTATTACAGATACTTCTTTCATTTTTACTAAAGAAATCTCTCAAACCTCTGCATTAAGACACAACTTACCTCTGGGTATTTATTTGTATTTCAAGATGTACTTTTCCAAAAGTCACAGGTACATGAGCAAATACGTACATTTTTTTTTAAATGCAAATATTTCCATTAGTCTGACATATAGCAATATTCTACTTAGGCTTCCACTATGTGGATTCTTAATAGTATTTTCAGTATCTATTTATCCTGGCAGCAATACCAAAAATTCCCCTATGACTCTCCTTCGCCAGGCTGATAGCCAGCTTTCATCAGGGTTTGATTTTCCCCTCTCGTCAGATAAGTGTTTCACATGCAATTAAGCAGGACTGAGGTGTACTTCAGTGGGTGAACACAATGACAGATTCCATCAGCGCCAGACTCCATGGCTTACAGAAAACTCAAGTGAATTAGAGGAGATTAATGGAAGATACGATTTATAATCATCATTTCTCCACAACCAAACAATGCTCAAACTGGGCAAGAGTATCCACTTCTTTTAAATTAGAAGTCAGCAAATGCCTTGGATCTTACTAGACAACTCCCATTTTTCACTCACAAATGTAGCATCTATATACTTAATAAACAGGCTTTTAAGAGTTTAAATATGTAGATCAGAATAATTTCTAATTCTAAACGTTCAAGGCCTTTGTGTCAAGGGAAACAAGCCAGCTGTTATGCTGGACTGACACATTTCAAACCTCACATTTGCTTCAGGCATTATGCAGGATGGATCTTAGGCTGATCTGTTGGTCATTTGCATGTTTTCAAGGTTCAGGTCCCACACTTCTTTGCAGAAGTCAGTTAAAACTGAAATCCTGCCTGACAGCGAATCTTTAGACTACCCTGAAATATTTTGAAGGACATGATGGCCCTATGAAAACCAATTAACTGCCTGTTTGCAAGGAGAACCTGCTGCATCTCATTCTTTGGTAGATTCAGGGCTTGTCTGCACTAGAAAACGAAAGAAAATTCCTATCAGTTAGGTGACCTTGTGAATTTAGAGCAGGATGGGTTTTGTTTGTCATTTTAATTTGGGGTTTGGAAAAGAGTAAGAGGATCAGAGTGAGAAGGGCAAGAGGCTGTTTGACCCCACCTAAAAAGGCACGTGCTCCTGGCCATGCAGCGAGGAAGTTCTCTGTACGGCCTTACCAACACTGCAGCAGCATCCTGCACTCCAAACGGTGCTGAACTTCCGTGAGAACGCATTTCAAATTAAATGGACTTGATTTAGCTTAATGAAGTTTAGTTTAATTAGAACAGCTGCGGTTGTTTAACTTGTCCGCTTTAAGTTCACATCTTCAGCTAATTTCACTTTTCCCATCTGCCTCAACAGAAACACAACTTAGTCTGGTGAGGAGGGACAAGTACCCCTTTGCATCTGTTGCTTTCCCATCACTACCACTGCTGCCCCAGTCCTCCTTTTTGCCCTTTCCCCTCCC